CAGGTGGTTGGTAGGAGGGGGGGGTGGCTAGTAGTAGTAGTAGTAGTAGTAGTACTAGTAGTAGTAGTAGTAGTAGTAGTAGTAGCGTAGTAGTAGTAGTAGTAGTAGTAGTGGTAGTAGTAGTAGTGGTAGTAGCAGTAGCAGTAGCAGTAGCAGTAGCAGCGGCAGAAGAAGTAGTTATAGTCGTAGTCGTAGTCGTAGTTAGTCGTAGTCGTAGTCGTAGTCGTAGTCGTAGTAGTAGTAGTAGTAGTAGTAGTAGTAGTAGTAGTAACAGTAACAGTAACAGTAACAGTAACAGTAACTTAGTAGTAGTAGTAGTAGTAGCAGCAGCAGCAGTAGCAGTAGCAGTAGCAGTAGCAGTAGCAGTAGCAGCTTAGCAGCAACAGTAGATTTCGTCGCAACCCAACCCATCAATTCCATGAGTAAGTGCTGCTGCCATTTTCCGAGCGAGCCACTGTTGAGGTATGCTCAGCTGCAAACTGCAGCCCTGTGCGGCCTTCAGCTTTTATCTGCTATTTCAGGATTCCAGAGATTACCATTCGCCAGTAGGTCTCCGCTACAGTAAATCGCACAGCTTACGCTGCCACATTGCCCCTCTCCCCCGTGGCGCCTGCCAACTGTTAACATTGCGCTCGGTTGCAGGTACCAGTACGCGGCGCTGGCTAGCCTGACGCAACAGTCTGCCGGACTAGCGGATTTCACAGACCTCACCGGCGCGTCCCAGCAAGCAGCCACGTCTAAAGGCGTTCCCGAGCATCATATCGCAAGTACATAGCCAATTCCCTGAATCGACGCGGCATTGGAACAGGGCATGCTGGTTGTTCACATTGAGTTCTAGCGCCCAAGAGCTAGGTGCTCGAAGTTCGGCCTTCGGGTGCAGGGCGTTCTGTTCCTCCCATGGCCGAAGCAGTTTCTGCTGTAAGACATGTCCTACGATCAGCCGTCCTCTGGTTGTATCCTCATTCGAAAAGTATCTTGCGGCAAGCCTCGGTGACGAACACTGGTTGAGGCCTCCTGAGATACGGTCGCATAGCTATCCTGAGCCTTCGAGAGCCACCAGCCGGGCCACCTGAACTTCCAAAACGCCTCAGCCTCCTGCGACTAAACCAGAGCAGCAAGTTCGCAGCTACAGGCCTGAAAGCTAAAAACCCCAACATTAGAAAGCCCAGAGTTCCGAGTGCCTAAAGTCCACCCCCCCCCCCCGGGCCAATGAATGCTTGCGCAGGCCCATCTTGGATAAAGCCCGGGGACTGGAACTGCAAAAGCTGTGGAGATCTACAGTTCGCGCGAAACAGCAAGCGTGGACCCCGGCGCATTTTCCAGGTTTGCATGAGGAACTCGCCGTCCAAATTTTGATACATCCATCAATCAGCTGCAACCTGTCTATGCATGTGCATGCATGTGCGTATCTTGATGGGGGGAACATCATTGTGAGATGTTTCCTTCAATGACTTTCGATTTAACTATAACGTGCGATCGATAGGTGGCCCCACCTATATCCGCGCACCTATCTTTTTGTCTGTTTTTTGTTTGCAGTACTCTCTCTCTCTCTCTCTCTCCGTGATGAACACTTTTGTATATATTCCCCATTGCACAGACCGACTTTGTGCATTTTGGGGGATGGGTTTTTTGTTGGCGTAGGTGAGGTTTCGGCTTTCAGGCGTCCAGTTCTACTGGGCAAAGCCACCACGGACACCACCCTACAGCCGCACCTCATCAAAACCCATGAAACCCTAAACCCTAAAACCCATGGAACCCCTTTTGGGGAGCCCGAAGCCCCCAAAAGACAGCCCCTAAGATGCCGGCGCTGTGGGGCCGACAAGCCCTCCGAAGCCGAGATCGCCGCCCAGGCTTGCAGGTTGTATAATTGCGGGTCTTATAAAGGGCTACGAAAGGGGTGATTACTGGGGTCTTGGGTTCGGATAATTTCAGGACCGTGCTAAGGGTCCAGGATTTCAAGCGGATTTCAAGGCTTAGGATGTTGGCGGAGTTGGGCTGCTCACGTTGAAAATCCACGGGGGGGGGGAGGGGGGCTTCTGGTCTTGGCAGGTTGCAGGTTTGGGAGCAATGTGCCAGCTGCACCATTAGGCAAAGGCCGCAGTGAGGCTCCGCCAATCTCGGAGTCGGGTCTGTGGAGCCTGGGTATCGCTGTTAAGTGCCGCTAAAAGCAGTAAAGAGGTTTGCCAATCATGGGCTCTCATAATCAAGAGAACTAGATGCTTAGTGATTGATTGTGTACCTACTCAACATTCATACCAGGCAGGCCATGTCGCGTCCAGGCTTTAACGAGGCACCTCGCTTATCTTCATTCCAAGAGTCTGATGCCAGGCTACAGCTGCGGCGGCTGCCGCCACTTTGGGACTCAGCAAAAACGTCGCCCCTGCAACACTTGGGCTTGCCGCGCAACTAATGCGGAAGAGATGCGTGCCCGTAGCATGTTCAGAAGGTCATCGTATCTCCTTACTGCTTTGGCGACCTCTGATCTGAAATGACAGGGCCTTCAGATGCGGCCTGGCGACTGGATCTGCCCCAGTTGTGGCGATCATGTCTTCGCCAAGAACGCCAACTGCCGAAAGTGTGGTCTGGCACGGCGCGTTTGCCCTAACAGTGGATTGTCTCAGTGACACTCACCGCTGACACTGTTTTTCGTTGAGCATGCCTCGAAAGTCGACCGGGCCAGGAACAGCGCGTCCCAATGACGTTCTGTGCCTCCGACATGGCTTATCAGCGGTGGCCGAAGCCCAGCCTCTACGTTGCAGACTCCAGTGAACTGCCAGGACAACAGTGGGTGCCGGTCGCAATGGAACAGGATCCGCCTCTCCCTGAGTTTGATGAAATATCCACAACCGGGTGTCCGCAGCGAGAAACCCCCTTGCCTCCACTCCCTGCAGTGCACATCCGCTTCTGGATCTTACACATCAACATCAGCAACATGTCAAGTGATGCTGGCTGCAACAGCCAGTGAACCTTAAAGTGAAACCCTGCAGCCTGAGCCGTAACCATTCCGGTGGAGCTTCATCCAGCTCCGGATGTGCAGGAGGCTGGGAAGGCGGCAGCGAGGAACGGAATTGATCCACCATTATGCGAATCCCTGTGCCCCTACCGCTTATGAACTTATAAGCAGTATTCTAGATGCGTACTCTGTGGATAGCCATTGAGGAGCCCTTCAAAGCCATAATCGCCTTAGCAGCCTCCATGCTCCGCTTTGGGTGTCCGGCCCAGGTTGCCCGCGAAGGAGACTGGAACTGCAAGATGTGTCGCTTTGCTTCATGGTTTAGGGTGTAGGGTTTAGGGTACGGTTTAGGGATGTTTAGGGCTTAGGGTTTAGGGCCATAAGGTTCAAGCAGCACGTTTGAGAAGCGGTGCTTGGAGCTTCAGGTGGAGATCTTCAGTTTGCACGCAATACTACATGCAGGCGGGAGCGCCGTGGTTAACAAGAAGTAGCACAACTCCGAATGCTACTACATTACAGGCTTAACGTTGGCCCAGTGAACCTTGCAGTATCGTTGGTATTGCTTCTGGTGGCTCTTCAATGGTACACAAGCAGCATTACGTCTTTTGCTGGCAATACCACGGTCAGCAGCTATTGTTTATCCATGTTTACCTTTTCGGTCAGTTCTTCTAGGACGAGAACCGGCAGTTGCTGAATGCTGCTGAGAAGCTTGAAGTACCCGTGCAGATGGTGGCTCATTTCTTCCGCTACACTCGGTGCCATTGCAGTTGTTTCGTTTTGGAGGTGTTTTTCTATCACTCACTCGCTGCCGACAAGAATTAGTAGAAGAATCGGTAGGCTTGTCCCAGCATTCGAGGCACGAATAAGAGTGGCGGCAATCCTTGAATTTTCACTGGGCACAAGCAGTACCCATGCGCAGACCAAATCATTGGTGATATTAGCTACACGAGGGTCAAGTTGGTACATCCGGGAACGCATTATCATGAGACCATCAAAGAACTGGGCCCGATCAGAACATTGCCCAAACAACTTGTGCAGGCGATGCGGTGCAGAAAAGCCTGAAGATGCAGGCTTAACGCCGGCCGTGCCGCGCTCAGGCCAAGCACTTCTCCCACATTGCCTTTCGAGGGTCAGAGCTGCGGGTGTAAATGTCGTCATCGTGTTGAACACTACTACTACTACTACTACTACTACTACGACGACGACGACGACTACTACTACTACTCCTCCTGCTGCTGTTGCTGCTGCTGCCGCTACTGCTGCCGTTATATATTGCTTTTCTATTGCTGTTCACTACTTGATACTGTTGTCTTCCTTTCGTCTTGCTTAGCTAGTCTAGCCTGCCAGTTATCAGTCATTGCCCGTGTGTAAATCGGAGCATTACGTTAGTAAATATTATGGTTTCCCTATTATAGTACATTCATTATCATAGATTAAGGTACTATAAGGGAAACCATAATTTATAGTAAATAGTATGGTTTCCTTATTATAGTACCTTAGTTCATGAATGTAACGGCTCGGTTCGGTTCGGGTGCGGTTTTGAAAAGGCGGTTCAGGCTCATGCGATTCGGTTTCTCCGACGGTTCCTGCGGTTCAGTTCGCGGTTCCTGGCGGTTCCAATCCCCTAGTCCCAAAAGCGTTGAGAAGCACACATTTTGGAGCCTCGGGGGCATGGCCGCGGAGCCACGCGGGGGCCCGCCACGCGCGGGAGTACACAATTCGGGAGTTTGGGGCTTGGAGCTTGCGAAAAGGGTACTCCCACGCGTGCTGCTCGGCAGGGGCCCGCCACGCGGGGGAGTACACAATTCGGGAGTTTGGGGCCTGATGCTTGCGAAAGAGTACTCCCACGCGTCCTGCTCTGGGGAGGGGCCCGGAGCTACATGGAAGAGTAGTTTGGGGGCCCGAAACTGCAGAAAGCGTGAACCTTATATCATTATGAACCCTTTAAAAAGGGACTCTATAAGCCCCTTATGGGGGCCGCGAACCCAAGAGGCCCGTGAAGTGAAAAATCGTGATCCATCAACGATCTGTGCAAACCCGTTTTGGGCCACCTCTGCTCCGAGTTCCTAAACCGGCATTGCGGTTCCAGCGGTTCCTGAGGAATCGGTTCCGGTTCGCGGTTCCAGTTCGGTTCGTTACCTTTCATGTTAATTAATAGTGAATAATATGGTTTCCCTATTATAGTACCATAATTTATGGTGAATAATATGGTTTCCTTATTATTATTATAGTACCTTTTTTTATTGTAAATAGTATGGTTTTGCCCTTAGCCGGGCTAAGGTGGCCACGGCGCCTGCGGCCCCCTATGCTGCCGGGCTCCCGGCTCCTTTCAATGCGGGGCGGGTTTTGGGGGGTTTTGGTGGTTTCGGGTGTTTAGGGGGTTTTGGGGTTTAGGGTTTAGGGCTTTAGAGGTTTAGGGTTTAGGGTTTTAGGGGTTTGGGGTTGGGAATGAGAGTTCCGGGTTTAGGGTTCGGAGTTGGGATTCAGGAATTCTGTGTTTTTCTTCAGGTTGGCAAGAAATTCGCGAGTATAGATTTCCTGTAAGAGGGATCGTGGATTACCCTGTCCTGTCTCGGATTGCTTGTGGGATTCAGCTTTTCAACATCTCCCTTGAACACATCGTAAACTGCTGCTATGGGGCTTCTCGCCTCGTTGAGCGCAGACCGACAATCTAGCCCTGTCGGGTGACTGTCACCGGGCTGAATAAGGGAGTCTTCTTGTAGAAGCTGTTGCAAAGCTTGTGAGTGAAGCAAACGAGTTTCCGACAATCTGTCGGAGAAGAGCAATTCCCTTAACCGGTCGGTCTGGCCCTACGGCGGGAGAGCTTGTAAGTTCATGCCTGAGGCCCGGGCGCCCGGTGCAGATCTGCGCCCTGGAGACTGGAGATGCCCTCGATGCAATGCTTGGGCCCTACGGCGCAGAGATGGCCTGGCTTCTGCATTCCGCAGCAGAGTTTTCCACGTTGCAGAGGACCACGTCTTTGCCAGAAATGAGAACTGCAGGCCGGGGCGGGGGGATGGTCGGCTCGGTCACGCAAGAGGATGCGCGTTGGCTTTCGTGAGGAGATGTGGACAAGCTCGCCCGACCGGCCATGACATGGCAGCCATGGCAGCTGCCGGCACACTGCCTCCGAACATTGCTGCGGCCAAGGGCTCGGATTTGGGCTGCTACGTAATTCAGAGCAGCAGATGGCTCAGTTCTCCGCCGTGAAACCCAGCCTAGGATCAGTACCTTGATTCTCAGCCGTTCTGGATACTGAATCAGTCGTTCTGGTTGCCGAATTTTCCGCCGACCGCCAGCCTAGTGTCCGGAGTTTACATTGCGACTTCCAGAGTCTCAGACCAAGGGTCGAAATGGCCACCCCGCTTCGCAGTCATGGACCTGCCGGACTTCAGATATCCCCGCCGTCCATCTTTGCAATAGGTTCCTCCTCCTTGCCTAGATGTTAGCCACGTCCTGCTAAGGCGCCATCACCCCCCCTATCGACCATGTACTTGCAACAGCTGAAACTTTTAAGACTTAGGTCCCCAAGACCACTCCTGGAAGAATCCTGGAGACAGCGCGTGAATCCCCTGAAACACCGAGGGCCGGTGGAGAAAAGATCGCTCGCCACGGCTTCAGCTCCTCTGTTTAGGCGGAGGGTCTACACTAGCATTTTCGTGGGATCTGGACAGGCAATCGAAGGGAAGAGCAGCCACACTATTTGAAACCCTCGCGCTGGCGCTCTCGGTTTCTGAGGCGAAGCCCGATGCGATGAGAGGCCCTCTGGATGAATCCTTTGTGAGGTCCCATTGCACCTTGCATATTGCCCTGGCGGCGTTGAGTCTCAGAAGACCGGACGCCCAATACTCTTGCTATGTGTGCGAGGATTGCCGAGGGGATGCACCCTTTGTAAATAGTGAGTTGTGCGCGGGCGATGGAAAAGTCTGTCCGTTTCAGGCACTTTCGGAAGCGATGGTGATGCTTCAGACGATCACGATGGCACGGGTGGTGATGATGGTGATGATGCTGATGATGATGATGATGATGATGGTGATGATGATGATGATGATGATGCTGATGCTGATGCTGCTGCTGCTGCTGGTACACGTGACGGTTATGATGGTGATGACGATGATGATGACGGAAGACTAGTACCGTCGGAAGCGACATGTGGCTAATAGCACCCAATGACTACCGCACAAAGATTAACAGCAGTAGCACTCATCGTCGTCGTCGTTTATGTTGTAGTAGTAAAGTGGTGGTGGTACGTCGTAGTAGTAGTAGTAGTAGTAGTAGTAGTAGTGGCAGTAGTGGCAGTAGTAGTAGTTGTTGTTGTCGTTGCACCTACCAGCAGCGGCAGAAGTAGCAGTAGCAGTGGTCGTCTTCGTTCTCGTCGTCTGCACCTGCGAACACATTCGAAGCCATCGGTTTGAGGCCCAAAGAGGCAACGGCACCACGGCCCAAAGTGGCCCCGATGGTAGCTCCATGGCTCCATGGCCTTTGACGGCAGCGGAAGCTTCCAGCTCGCCGTTCCCGAAGCTTTCGAGGCTCATCCGGAAGCCGAGGGCGAGGACGAGGACGAGGATGGAGAGGAAGAGGAAGAGGACGAAGGCAATGACTTCTTTTTTGCCGGGGAGTCCTTGGGCGAGGCAGATGATGAGGCAGGGGTTTCGATGCATGAAGACTAGCTGACTAGCGAGGACGGGCTGTTGAATGCATCCTTTCTGTTTATCCCTGTAGGACCACCAAGTGTGGCTTGCAGGCTCCGCTTGCCACGTTGCGGAGCACTGCCACATGGATAAGGGGCTGGACGGGCAGGGCGAGGAAGCTTGGCGAGTGACGATCCTGATGGATGCGAAGCCGCCAATCGCCGGTCCGCTTCTCAAACGGTGCATCGCCTTGAAGACACGCGCTGCGTGGGAATTCATTGCAGCCCTGCCCGGCATCGTGGAGCCTTGGACGATTCGTGACAAGCCCAAGCGCCAACAGTTTGCAAACTTTGATGACTTCGAACACGCAATCGAGGAGGCAGGTGATGAGGCCGAGGATGCCAAGGGTGAGGAAGGTGACGACACAAACCGGACGAAGGAAGGCAGAGAGTCCCCAACCTCAAGGCGAGGTTCGGCGACCCAGGCACTTGAAGCTGGCGAGGGCGACGGCCTCCCAGGCCGGCGACGTGGAGCTGTGCTTACACTGGCCGGCCCCAGCACTGAGTCTCCTGAGGATGCCATCCGCCGCGACGAGGAAGCCTACTTCCCGGAGAAGAATCGGCTGCAAAGCTCGTTGACTGCAGCAGTCGTCAGGGACATCGCGATGCACATTTGTGACGCGGCTGTGGCCGTGAACCCACCATGGAACGTGCGTGTGGCAAGCGTGGAAGCGGCGGGCATCTGAGTTTATGCTGGAGTTTGATCGTCAAACCCTGTATCAGTTCCGATATTTTAAGTCGTACAAAGCGTTCTTGAAGCTCTGACTCCGCGGCCGTTAGCTATCGTGCGCAGAGTAGTCGAAGCAAAGCCGCTACACTTTTCCACAAGGCCTTGCTGGCCTGGGACCTGACGTCAACCATCTACGGTGCTTGCCGGGTACCATTGACGCTTGTGACACAGCGCGGAGGCGCTGTCCGGAGTTCAGCTGCTGCTCTGCTTGTGGTGTATGTATATTATATATATATATGTACACAATATGTAAATATATGTAAAGAAAATGGAGAACACGCATATGTGTATGCATGCAAGCATGTGTATTTCTAACTGGCTGTACACAAAAGTAATTATATGAGAACTGTACACGAAACACTTGTAAGCGACTGGAGCTGCGCCTGGAGGTAGGTAGATAGCTAGGTTCTAGCTAGCAAGGCAGAGAGATAGATAGATAGACCGATAGTTTAATAGATAGGGAGGTAGCTAGCTAGGTAGATATTACAGAGGGTGCGAGAGCCCAAAAAAAAGAGAGATAGTAGCTTCATACAGAGCAGACAGGTGTTTGTGTACGTATGTATCGAGATATACAAAAAAATAACCACTACACATGCGCTGTTGGCCATGTCGTGGTCGCCTGCCAAGATCTCGGCAACAGTCTTGGCCTGTGAAGTTAGATCCAGCGGTGTGGATGTGGGTCAAGAAGCTTCGGACGGCTTGCAGACTGCTGATGTTCAGACAGTGTCCTGAATGCGGATCTTGGCTTTGCCTGCACTCACCAATTGTTGCCACTCAAAGTCTGAACCGGACACTCTGTCGAGGCAGGCAATATGCCTTTGTCTTCGTCCTGGTGATGCACCAAGAATCGGTGGCTTTGATCGGGCGGTACCTGTTGAAGGATGGAGCCCAAATGCTGCATCAAGACTATGGTGTCATCTGGGATAAGGGCTTTCGGGTTCAAGCTTAGATTGTTCGAGTGGGGCCCCATGCAGGAGTTATCGTATCTCCCGCTGGAGAAGCCCTTGACTCAGATGGAGTGCTTAGCTCCTGTGCAGGAGTGTAGATTAGGCACAGTGTTCACTACACATCGCATGCTTCAATCACTGCAGGCGGAAGCTGTCCGATGCGGTCGAGCATGTAGCCGCAGCACTCACCTCGCGGCATCACGAGCTCAAGACCTTGTCCCACAGTCCATCTTGACGGTCATCTTGCATTGAGTAGCAAGGGGGCTAGTTTCAAGAGATGTCAGGACCTGCTACTTAGGAGCCCGAAGAGCATCTGATGCAAGTTTATGTTTCTACGGGGTCATACACATGTATGTATACATATTTATCTATGTATATATCTATATATGCATGTATGCTTACATACATACATACATACATACATACATACATACATAGATTGCTTCATTTGTTTATTTCATGATTTGTGTCTGTACTGTTACTTATACTTGCTATACTTGTACCTATATTTGTATGCATGTATGCATGCATGCATGCATGGATGGATGGATGGATGTATGTATGTATGTATGTATGTAGGCGTGTAGGTGTGCACATGTGTGATCTGTATGCTTGTATGCATGCATGCACGCATGCATGCATGTATGTATGCATGCATGCATGTATGTATCTCTGTATCTATGTATGTATGTATGTATGTACGTATGTACGTATGTGTATGTGTATGTGCATGTGTATGTATGTGTGTGTGTGCAAGTACGTATATGTATAACATACATACATGCATACATACACACACACACACACGCATGCATACATCTAGGCACTCAGAGGCCCCCAGCCCCACAGACGGAATTGTGCTGAGTTGTGCAAGACGTTCCGCCTCTATGTTTCTATGGGTGTGGGTCAAACGCGCGGTTGTGCGTGTTTGCCTGTCCGTTTGTTTCTCTGTCCGTCGGTCTGTCTGCCTGTTTGGGTGGGTATGTAATTTCATCTGTCTAGCTATCTGCCTATCCATATGTCCATCTACATGGTCGGGTGCCTGGCATTCCACCTCGACCTTGCCAGGACAATGCCACACCCGAACCCTAAACTTGAATTTAAATGAATCCAATACCGGACCCGAACCCACACCCGCCCACGCGCGCAGGAGCAAGGGTTGAAAGGATCCATTCGCACATCCAGAGGAAGCGACACCCAAACCGACCCAACAAAGGCACGCAGAGGCACGGGGTGGTGAACTCAGAGCCAGCAGAGGTACAAAGGAGGGATCGTGAGCAGAGCCCGAATGCCAAACCCAGTGATACCCACTCAGAGAGCGGGGGAGCGGGGTTGTTTTTATTTTTTTAAGTGCTACTTGTAGGGAGCTGATGACCGTGATCACAGGATTTCGGCACTTGCTCATTCGCACGTCATTTTGCTCAACTATTCTTGTCACAGATGTATGTGTTCCGTGGTGTCCGTGAAGCTTCGTAGGTACCTGGGCCAGCCAAGCGAAGCACTGATTGGCCAACCAGGAGCTCGGACGCTAATTTGCTCAATACGACTGGGTGGTGGCAGAGTCGATGATGCTTCGGGTTTAGGGCTGGCGGCTTGAGGTTTGAGCTTGGGGGAGGGAACAAGAGAAGCAACTAAGAAGGGCTCTCATAACCAATCAAGTTTGTCCATAAAACCGTCGGTAGCATATTACCATGTGCTGTACTGGTATTCATCACCAGTCATATTGCTTTCGAAATTTCACGGGATTAACCTTGCCACTACGATGAGTAGTGCTAGTATTGTCACTATTTCTGCTGCTCCTGGCAATGCTCAGAGTTTCGGAACCACCTTCGACCTTCTTTTGCCACCTCCTGCCCCGTTGCGACACGCGGCGTGCACCACGTTCTGTTCTGCACCTGGCAAATAAGTGCTGTTGGACTCACCACCTCCAGCCGTCTGAGCTAGCCGCGCCTTTTCGTCACGACAAAACCCCTAACCTTCGCAGAGCGATGAACGAAGATTTCACCTAGACAGGTCCGTGTGCAGCTCCGGTGAACCAAATACTCGGCGCCGAGTGAAGCATCGGCACGAAGCGTAGAGAGAAAGAGAGAGAGTCCGACTACCAACGTGGCTGACAAAACTGGAAGAAAGGTGAACATGCACAGAGGGAGGAACCATATCCGCCAGGAGATGACCCCACGTACTGGCGAGTCCTCAAGCTGAGCTGCAGGTGGCTTTAGGGGTTTGCTTGGAGGCACTTGGACTAAGAAGGAAGCTGCTCAGGCTCCTCAGAGATCTGATCCCTGTCCAACACATAGCGGTTCTGGATTTTCAGTACTTCAGTAATGATTTTGAGTTTTCGAGTGCTAGGTCTACAGAGTTTTGCACTCCTTTTTATCTCGGTTCCGGTTCCGCGAAACCCTTCTCCCGAAGAGGCGACAGGAGTGGAACAGCATCCTCGCCTCCTGCGACTTCTACGTGGCTCGCAGGCTGGAGATGCAAGCTGTCAGGAATTGCCAGCAAAAGCAGGTGGTGGAAAATGCAAGACCAAGCAGTACCAAGGTTGTAATTGGCACACTTGCCGCCCGATCGTCCTGGTTTTGGATGGGAGTTTTGCATGTTGTGCGATTGTTCACGTCGGGCCTGCCATTTGTGCCCATTCGCTTTTTGAAGTTTCTGGCCACCATACCACGTCGCTGCCGCCAGCATCACACGATCACTTCAACTCCTTTTCTTCCTCTGCCGTCCCTGCCTTCCACTCGCACTACCAGTGCCGCCACCATGCTGCTGCTGGTGCTCCTGCTGCATGCCGTGTCTCCTCGTTCTGCTACTACTTCTTCTACTGCTAGTACTACGACGACGACGACTACTACTACACTACTGCTGCTGCTGCTGCTGCTGCTACTACTACTACTACTACTACTACTACCCGACGGTGCCACAATTGACGCCATGCTTCTCCTCACTTCAGGGCCTCAAACGTGTGGTTTTAGTAGGAT